CACAGGTAATACCTGTAGGTGCTTTAGTTTGATAAGCTACATTTACGTGTATTTTTTAATTGCATCTGTGAAGATGAAAGCTGTGGGGAAGCCATGGAAATTAGTTCAATATAGAGTATATGCTTAAGGTAAACAGTCTTGCTTTCCTGACACTATAGAGGGGTTTGAAATTGTATTTTGAAGACTCTTAACAACTTGTTAAGTGTCTTAGTGAGTCCCTAGTTCTGTTTGATTGCTTTGCTATATATCTTGTCTTAAATGTAAAGGAAGATGAATGTTAAAACCAGTCTGCTTTTCTTTGGTGGGCGGAGGATTGTGCTTAAGGCATTTTTTTATTTAGGTTGAAGCCACAAAACAGGTTCCTGATACAGTGGTGGTGCAAGAATGCAGGGATTTTATAGGGCAATTAGGACATTTTCATGATTGTTTCATTGATATGTAGTAGTCACAGCTTGCATCACTAGGATGATACTCTTGACTATAACTCTGGCATGAGAAGGAGGTGTTGGATTGAAAACAAAGCATCCCCACAGCTGATGGTTGAAAGACTGTGTGTGTGTGATAACGTGTCTTTTTTTTTTTTCCAGAGTTTCATGATGGTATAGCTCTGCAGCATTCTGCAACAGGCTCAGGCTGTCTACCAATTAAATAAAAGAGTGTGTTAATTGCTTACACCTTAACAGAACTCCACAGTTGCCATCTCCAGGCCTTCAGGAAGAGATGACTGAGCTGTCTCCCTTGGATTTGTTCTGTCTCACTTCTGCCAGCAGACCGCTTTATTTGTAAATTTAGCATTTTGCAGGCCACAGTGTGTGGTAATCTGGGGGCAATAATTCGGATGCTAATAATACTCATCAGAAGTTGTTATTTATTAAGCCAGTTGACATTTAAGAAGAAGAATAGCCTGAGCTTGCCAAGTGATTCTAGCTCGTTGCTGAGGAGCATGCTACTGGTTAGAGCATTTAATTAGCAACCCAGTGTCAAGGCCCCGGGGGCACTAACAGGCCCTGGCGTCCGGCCTGGGGGCCCAGCAGCCTGTTTCAGCCCAGCCTGGGGCCATCAGTCTGTGTTGGAACTGTGTTACCAGTGTGCCTGTTCCAGTCCCTGCTGATGCAGGGCTGACCTGGAGCCTGCCTTTGCCCAGTGACCACTGGGCTGTCTCTGGGACCCGTTTCTCTCACCATCTGTGCGCAGGCAGCTGAGCAGCGTTGGCCTCGGGGTGAAGCTGCTTTCCGAGACACTTCTTGTTGGGTCCGTCTCCATGGTGGCCGAGCTGCAGCCACCTAGAGCAGCTTTATGGCCAAAACGGAGCCAGGGAACATTTTTAGTGACCGTGAATGCTCTTGCTGGAGATACTGCAGCAAAGCTGCTGGGTTTGGCTGCCTTGGGCTGTCAGAAGTGATGGGTTATATGGAGCAAGGCCAAAGCGCTGGCTGTGGTGTAACTCGCCATGCTGTCATGGGAGGGTGACTCGCCTTCTTGCTTTACTGTCTCTGTGACACAGAGATGTGACTCAAGAAGCATGTTGTAAAGTGAACTTCAGTGCTTTTAAGCTGCCTTTAAAGTAAACAATTTATGTCCTTTTATCCTCATGGGTAACACCAAAGATAAGAACTTCTACAGATTACAGTGAATGTGGGATCAGGCTTCTGGCTGGTGTTCCGTATTACTAACTTCAAGTAAAATTTTATGCGTAGGCAAAATAAAGCCTAGAAGACAAAACTCATTTTGGAGAATAACTTTACTAAAAATAAATTTGCATATCTTTTGCTTCAGGTAGTAATGACTGACTTGTTAAAGAAATGTGGTAATTTGATTCACTTATCACTCAGGTGCTTATTGTATTAGGTAACTGGCTAAGAGGGATCTTTCATTCACAGTGCCAGTCTCTTAGTGCTTCTGTATTTATTCTGTTTAGTTTTGTGGGAATTGCTAGGATTATAAAAATGTAATATTTAGTTTAAGCATTTTAACGATGTGTAAAACTATGCTATACCTCTTTCTTGGTTAAGGTGGTGCGGTGGGAAAATAGGCATTAAGAGCAGGGATCAGCACTGTATTAGAAGTACATCTGGCTTTTATTAGGTGTAAACTTCAGGGCAGGTGCATTTGGGTGAAATATTTTTTGTAGTGTAAAAATGTGAGAATATTTTTTGTTCTCATTGAAATAACTTGCAAATTAAGTTGCTTTATATGGTATGCTCTTTTGAATTTGCTTTAAATTACATACATATAGATATGTAGCATAGCATGATTTTATAGATTGAACAAATTAGGTAAATAATGCAAAGAGAAAACTGGAATTTTATTTTATTTTCTGGGGTTGTATGAAATGGAGAATAATCAGCCTGAGGAGAAATGTTAAAAAATCTATTGTATATCTTGAGCTGTTAGTTTCCTATGGTGTTTAGCATTGTAATTCATTTAGGGGTGTTTTTTTTTTAACCTGCTAGCAGTGTATCCCTAAATAAAATACTTTCACTTTTTTGTTTTGCTGTTGTTCCTGAAGGTAGCCTTAATGACGCCTATGAAGTAGTATGTTCTTGGGTTTTGTTTTTTTTTTTTTAATACTGTTATGCATTGATAGCAAAAGACAAAGAACCCATTGAATGCATTATTTCTATTCATAGTGACATAATTGGTCATACAAACCTTCCTGAATAAGTAAATGTTTCTTTGATTTGGATACTTGCTGTTATATAATACATGGAAGTATCGCACAGTTGTATATCTGAAGAAAAAGCTACTTGAAAAGGATGTTTTAAGATACAGCGGATATATCTGCATTCTTTTTTTATTTTATTTTATTTTTGCTGGGGAGCCTAAATATACCCAATTCTTGTTGTGTACAAAGCCAGGGCATGTGACATGGGGATGTTATCAAACCAGCTGTTTTCTCTTAACAGTATCCAGCTTTTCCTGTTGACTGTACTTGATTCTCCTGTTGACTGTAAATAAAAAAAAACTTTAAATCCATGGGTCTACTTGGTATAGAGACTAATTTTCCCTGAGTTATACTAAAGCATTTCACCCTTGCCAAATGAGAAAGAAGCTAAAAATGAAGAATATTATGTTTTTGTCTTTTTTTTTTTTTTTTTTTGAGGGGGTGGGGATTGGGGGTTGATGCAGCCAAATTTACAGCTAGTTGAGGAGAAAGGAAGAAATGTTTTTTATGTATTTTTGCCAACTGTTGTAAAAATCCATCTGAGCTATTGCAAAATTTGTAAAAAAGAGCTCCTAAGAGAAAGAATGGGAGTATACATATGTTTTTCTCATTCTGATTTGTTTGGGAGGATTTGGGTTTCATTTTGACCTTCTGCAGCATAAGAAAAGTGCACACTGCCTGTGTGGTGATGGGACAGTAGAAGGCATATAGAGTTTCTTCTTGTTAGCTTCATTGCAAATGTTGTGGCAAAAAATAGGCAAAAAATAACTTACGATACTTGCTCCCCCCCCCCTTTTTTTTTTTTTTTTGGTATTTCTTGTGTGTAGGTGAGGAAGATCATTGGTATGCATTTGGCAGGCAGATGGATCCATGAGAGAAGGCTCTGCTACAGCCTTCTCAATGAGCTGATACTGTCTTACCTTGCCTGTACCATTTCTCCTTCTTAGGGAGCCCAGACTCCATGCAAGAAAATTTTCCTTTAAAACACCACTTAATTCTAATTGTCCAAGCAATCCATTGTTTTCACATATTTGAAATTGATCATACATTTTTGGGTACTTGAGTGTAAAAGAAAACAGTTGGCCTTTTCTGTTCGTGAAAAGTAGCCTCTGTCTCTGCTAACACTGCTATACTCTCATTGCTGTGTTAACTGCTTTAGAGACAGAAAAGTTGGACTAATCACTGGTACTTAGTCCAGTCCATTGTTTTTTTTCTCTGGAGGAATACTCTATATGTTAGGAATTCGGAGGCCATTTTAAGCAGTGCTTGACTTTCCAGTGCTCCCACTACATTTTCCTCTGTCCCTGGCGGCACACTTTAAGAGTTCTGCACTGATTTTTTTTGTTGTTAAACCATCTTCACAAAGGCCAAATTATCTCTCTTCACTAACAGTCTGCTGACCTTCTGACAAACTTTGTTCTTTTATGTAAGGGGAGGTTCTTCATATATCCTGTCCTGATGTATGTATAAAAACGCAGAATTTGTTGTTATTGTCAGAAATCCTGTAAGGTTGATTCAGTGATGCTGAACTACCTTACCTTTATCATCTTACTTTATTACTTATTGGTACTGGGGATACAAAACAGAATTCCAGATGTGTATTCCTGGAGTGCTGGCTAAAGTTGAATAATCACTTATTACCAAGAGCCTAGCCTGTAGATATCCCCCAAAATATTCTTGGCCTTCCTTGCTGCCAGGGGTAACTGCTTGCTCATGTTTAGCCCACTGTCTGCCCAGACCTCCAGCTTCATTTCAGAGCTGTGCCCTGTTTAGTCAGTGCCCAGCCTATCCAAGGGATTAGCCCATCTCAGGTACACATCTTCATGTTTGCTGAATTCCATGAAATATGTGTGTGGGGTGATGGAAGGGGTTTGGAGATGCATTTCATAAGCTTGTGGAGTGAGCGTGCTACGTAGTTTAGATTTTTATTCTGGTGGTTTAGGAACTTCTGGAGTTCTTAAATCATACCTGATTTTAAAATGTTCTTAGGAATAGAACATAGAAATAATTTTAAATGTATTTTCAAATCTTGGCGTACTTTATTCGTAAAATAGAGGAAGAGAAAAAGATGCAATTTTTGCATGCTTAGTTGTTTGTGCTACTCCTTCACATATGCACATTTTTCTTAGCTCCTTAGTAGTTATGTAGAGTGATGTCTAGAATGTGGCATTTCTTGCAAAGCGGAAGTGTTCTGGTAGTTGAAATGTTAGTTGTGTACATACAATCTCTTACAAGCAGAATTGTACCATTCCAGTCACCAACACTAATCGTAAATATTGTTTTAATAGTTTTGGCTCTGTACCTTTCTTACATTTTATGTCAATTATTTCTCTAGGTATTGCCAGGCATCTTAAGTGGTTGACCAAGACCTAAGGACTTGGAACAGTGGTGAGCAAATGCAATTCAGATTATATTATCTGGTATTTTCACATGCTGACTCTAAAGTTTGACTGCTGTTTGTAGGATGGAAGATGTGCAGTAGGTTATGCCTTTTGAATATTTTCTTCTGAGCACCAAATTCCTGTTTACAACATTCATCTGATATTTTTAAGCAGAGATTTTAAGAAGCTGAGGAGGAGGTAGTCTCGGTGACTGCTTTTGATAAGTGAAGCCTCCTCCCTTCCACCCCCCCCCCGCTTTGGAAAATACTCAAAGTATTTCAATCAGAATAGTTAAAGCTATACTTATTGAAACAGTAATATACACTGTAACCCATTGTATTAAATGAATGATGTCTGAATCCAGACTTCTCAGAACCATGCCAGTGTATACATTAGGCAATTATAAAATCAGGTATCATTCTAGAATATATGGAAACCTAAGGTAAGTTAATAAATTACTGCAAGCTGAATTTTTTCTCTCTTTAAACCCCCAAGCTTATGTCTGTGATTCTTAACTCCCCCTCTGCAAACTGTGTTGTCCTTTGTAAAGGTAGATAATATTGTTGATCCCCTACACTCTGCTCATTACTGATTCCTTGCATCCTGTGTGCCAATTATGTATCTATTGCAACTAGAGAAGAACGCGGGAAGGATCTAAGGATGAACTTTAAAAGTTTCAGATACTTTTTAAAATTAGTTTTGTTTAGTAGTCCACTCAAATTATTTGCACTTCCCTGACTGTCGGTGTAGGCCGGTAAAGAGAGTCTAATGAATGCAGAGATAAACTCACCAACTGTTAATTGTACTTAGTAATAGCAGTAGTAGTAATAATAGCTATAATAATACTTTCAAAAAGCAGCTGTGTTTTCTTGCCAAGAGAGTTTTTTGGAATAATGTAATATTTCTATTTCTCTGGTTTCCATAGCAGAGCCAGTTTATGGGAAATATTTTGTATTTATGGGATCTTATTTGATTTCAGTGCTGTTGGCAGTAAATTTAAGTTTTTAGCACCCATGCATTTGGTTGCATGTACCGTTGACTTTTATGACCAAGAACCAAATGCAATACAATGAGAAAGTCTTGCCTTTTTTTTTTTTTTTTTACTTTTTAACCTCTGAAAATTATGTTTATGTAGTTCTTAAATTATAGAAATACCATTTTATTAAAACTTTGAAGGAATTTATCACTTTAGAATATTTACCTTCATGTAGTTGTATATTTACTGTCTCCTTTCTATTGTATTTTACCAAGAAAAGCAAATCAGTGAATTTTAAGTGAATCTGTCAGTTAATTTTGGATAGTTTCTTTTTGCCTACTTTTTATCTACCCCTGTGCTCCCATCCTCCACCCCCTGACAATTCTCAATACTAAACTGCTGTATTCATGGTGTCATGAGTACACAAGTGGAATGAATTGGTAGTTCTTCTGCGCCTTCCGTCTGCCTTATTCCTCCTCCTTGGTAAGAATTAAACTTTTTCTTTCCTACTTCAGTAACAGTTTGCCAAGGCATTCAAAAGTAATAAAAAATAAGTGGTATGTTTTCTGGTGTTTATGTTAGTTCATTTAGTACTCTAGAATAAATGTTACAGGTCCTTGCCGACTTTGAATGGGTTAGTTATCTAGGATGTTTTTGGTCATGGTTGATACCGGAAAGACCCAAACAATGTTCAAGTTCCCATAGAAAAATACATGTTTTGCCCTTGCACTTAAGTGTAGTTTTAACAGAAGCCACATTAAATTTCAGGATTCTGAAGAACTCTAAAAGAAGGAATCCAAACTACATTAAAACTCATCAACCAGTCTTGTCCTTGCTGAGGTACCTACATTTATATGGATTTATGCAGATGGATTCATTCACCTGTGTTCCAGTGTGACATATTTATTCATTCTCTGTGTAAGTTAAGTGCTCCACAGCTCACAAGTGTGCCACTATGTTGAAACAGATGTGTTAACCCAGCAGGTACCACTCCACTGCATGTATTATGTGATCTCAGAAAAAGCTGAAACTGTTGTAAAGTTTCTTTACAAGTGTACAATGGACAACACTGGCCTGTTGTTCTTCACATGTAGGCTCTAATAATACCATATGCCTGGTGTTTTGAAGTCTCTTGTCCCAAACACGCTAAAATTAAAAACTATCCTTCTGTCAAGCTAAACATACCTATCGCCTAAGGGAAATTTAAGGAAAATACACTCAGTGTTTTAAAAAGTAACTCTAAAACTTGCTTATGACTGCTTCTTGTTGGTGACTCAAGTGTGTTTAAAAGTAGTCTTATAAACAACTTAATAATTCATGTGAAGCAACTTCTGTATTTTTACTGACATTTAATTGCATGACTTCAAACTGAAATAATTTCCTTCTTTATAGAGTGCTGATACTTGTTAGGTGGCTGTTCTGGTGGGATGCTCTGAACGAAGGCCCTGATTCACCAGAGAATCAGAAGATACTCTTAAGGGCTATTGAAATACAGTTAACATGCTATTTGTTTAGAAACTAAGAAGGTGTTTAAGAGTTTTTTTGAACAGGGAAAAAGCTGAAATACCAGCTTTTACTCTACTGGAGCCTTGCTCATCTTACAGATTATAGCAAAATACTATACCAAACTTTCACAGCATTTGCTAGGGCTGACAACTGAACTGTGTACTGTGTGGTACTCTGCCTGGCATTGGTTCATTGTAGACAGTTTATATATCTTTATCTGACAATGAATATACCTATTAATTCTTTCAGGTTTGCTCTTTAAGAAGCTTCTAGTTAATGATTAAAGAGACTTTTTGTTAATTTAAAATTGCTTCTTCGATGGTGTTACAGATAATATGGCCTATTTTATAGTAATGTGCCTTGGACCATTTAAGAGGGGAGCCCTATAATGCTTAGCAACATAACAAACAGTAGTGCGTACATGAAGAACGTGAAGCTAACTTAACAACTTGAGCAACTGTCAGCAGCAGTAGGTAGGAAGCCAGTGTAGAAGGTTAAGCATAGTGGTGATGGTAAAATTGCACAGTTAATAAGATTAGCTCTGTGCAGATCTTATATGTTGAAAGAAAATTGAAATTATAACTTTCCTTTCATAATGAAATATGTAAATAGTAAGTTTCTTTCCAGATGTGCTAATGAACACAGCAAAGGCCTAGTTGTCTGAGTTTTCTTCATAGGCATTGCGTAAGTTGTCTTGAGGAAACATTCCAAAATAGGTAAGCACTTAATTCCGAAAAAATCTTCACTTCCATTGCAATAAAATAATTAATAAAATTTAACTGGAAGCAAAAAATAAACAATTGAGATAAAAAAGGGGAAAATTGCTTTCTGATAAGCTCTTAATTATTTTTTTTTAAAATTTTGTTTACTTTTTCCTCTTCTTTTTCTCCCCAAGGTTTCAATTTAATTAAAGGAGCATTCACATACTCGCTAACTTGTATATATACTCCTTTTGTTGCAATATGAGTAGGATACAGGCTTATAACGCCTTTTCTAAGAAACATGAAAGAAAGACTCCAAAATTGTAGCAGAGCACCAGTTATTATATGTAAAATGAAAAGAATATTCATCAAGAATTGACTGCTTAGTGTGGCAGTGCTAAGCTGTTTCCAGGACCCAGCCATCACAGCTGATGGTGATCCACACCCCAGTGAGATGCCTCAACCAAGCTCAGATACTGTGCTGGATATCAGTGTTGGACACCTCTGGAAGGCAGCAGGTGTTAATGTGGTTGGGGAATGTTAGTGTAGGTACTCTGATGGTTGACAGTGATACTAGTCCCTGAAGAGTTGGAGGTTTGATCCCTTCTTTTAACAGCTGATGTGACACCAGCCACTTGGCAGTATTTTTTTGCCACAGGTTGGTAGACAGGTGCAGTTCTTGGGCTATGGATTTTTGGCATCCCAGCTACTCTGGAACGTGCTGGCTGATGTGACAAATATTATTCTATGTTACATGAAAATAAACGTTTTGACCAGCCAGGCCGGTTCCTCTTCACATAGTAATACTCACTTAGTTTTTCCGCATAGGGTCCCAGCTGGCACTGGAGGATGATGCTTCTGGGCTTTTGAAGGAAAGCAAAGTGAGTGTCTTTCTGAAGGTCCTTCCTCATGTTGTGATAAGCCACAGAGAGAGGAAGCCATGGTTTGCTCAAGGTGTTCTAGCGGTCATCTTATCTATGTGCTGCACTTTGCCTCATGACGGTGCTTTGTGACCTCAGGAATTATGTTCTAAGTTTCTGATGAAGCCCTGCCATATCTTAAACCTGAAATAGAAAACTTGGTAATAATTTTGAGGTGACTAAAAGGTTCCTGTGTGTTAAACACACATAGATCACAGCAGAATACAGATAGGGACAGGGAGTTGATTTTTGTGTTTTACTGTTTGGTTTGGGATATATGGTTTTATTTATATCAGTACAGTTTTGTACTATGTACATAATAGCACAAAGACAGTGTGGTGTTGTTTTTTTTTTACTTCTGGAAGCCAAAAAAATAGAGCTGTAGCCAGTGTTGCTGGTTTTACTTGGTTTTGTTAACTGGAGTAAATAGGAAGTTATATATTTGTACTGCTTTTCCTTTATGAGCAATCTCTTTTCTGTGTCTGTGCTTTTTTTTTTTTTTTTTTTTTTAGTTTTCTATATAATTTATCTTTGTTTACTCTTTCTCTGGAGAACTTTACAGTGGTTTTAAAGCTCTAATCCAAAATTGCACCCCACTTCCATTTAATAGAAACAAAAATAGCAGTGGACATTTGTTCACTTCATTTCCTTTTGTCTATCATCAGAGGGGAGAGAGGATGAGTTACCAAGTCAGGAGAATATTAAAGTTTGGAGTTCTTTCCTTGGGAAGGCACTGGGAACTTTCAGATGTTATAAACCACACTGAACTGATAATTTTCTTATGGAGCAATAAATACAATGGCTAATTTTGTTATTTCTGGAACCTAGTGCAGTTCTTGACATGGAGATGCTATGCTGCGAGCAGTGTGTAAACAGCAATTGCAGCCACAGGAAGGAGTGTGGC